ATATATATATATATATATATATATATATATATATATATATATATATATTATTGTATTTTATTAATATATGATTATTTTTATAAAATAAAATAATGAAATAATAAAAATATTTATATGTTGTATTTTAATCAAATATAATTTATTGAGTGCATTATATAATTACAAAAAAAAAATGTATTTTATTACTAAAATTAGTCGATTATTACAATGAAAAAAATTCCTAAAATTTATTTGAATATTCATAAAATATGGACGTTCAAACAAATATATTTAAATATTCTTAATGTTAATGTAGTGATTTATTCAGAAAAATTAAGATCGAAACATGAAATAGAAAATTTTAATGAATGTAAAATATGCACACTATAAGAAAATAAAATAAAACTCCAAAATTGCACCAGTGAAGCAAAAGTACAGAAATTGTTTGTCTTTATTATTTAAAAAAAAAACATTCAAAAGATGATACATGTCAATTGTGGCGAAACTTGTACATACAACAATATTGTCCAATCCTCTTTTCAAAACCACAGAAAAATAAGAAATCTTCGATTTCCACGTTTCCACATACAATACATATTTCAGTGTCAATTTCTCTCAATCCTGCTTGACAAAACAATAATCGATTTTTGGATAATGATAAATATAATATAAGTCAATTAAATTAAAAAAAAAACTAAATACAAACTTCTACATAAAAAAATATTCATGAGAAATGTTACTAAATAAAAAAATAAATAAATAAAATTACAAAAATTATATGCAAATCGTAACAATGTAGCACATAGGATATAAGTTGGATTCATAAACAACATCTGCGAGAAATACATAAAGAAAAAATATTAGCATAACTTTTCAGTTAAATAAAAATATTAAATGGATTTAAACCATCTAAATTAAATTATAATATGATAAATGCATGAAATCAATTGAAAAAAAAATACCAAAAAAAAAAAGAGAGAAAACGAAAAACAAAAACAACTCGAATGAAATGGGTGAAGAAGAATAGTGTTGGGTGAAATAAATAGATGTGGGTTTATATAGTTTTGATAAGTATATATTAATTAGGAAATTTAAGAATTAAAATTTCAAATGACATGATTATAGGTGGGGGGGAAAAAAGGTAAGAGATCAAAATCAATTCAATTCGGATGATTTGATTTCTATTGATTAGGAATTGATTTTAAAATAATAAACAATAGTTATGGTTATTGAATATTTTCCTTAAACTAACTATATCAATTAAATTTAATCATCTAAAACATGTAATTAAATTCCATATCATAAAATGCATATCATGATTTTAGAAAATTATAAAATACATAAAACATACACACGATTTTTTTTTTGTTTTGTTTTTTTTTTTATTTTACTAATAAAATTATAAATTTCATAATACATTATTAATATGTTAATTTAAAATCGAATTTTAATGCATTAATAAAATAAATTAATGTAAAATTATAAAAGTATATTAATGAAATATAAATGATTGATTAATGGAATAGTACACAATCGGATGATATAGTTTGTAAAGATTATTAATATTGCATTAATTTAAATTGATATAATTTATGGATTATCTATATTAATTTAAATATAATAATATGGGAAAATTATTAATACTATATTTACCTATCTACGCTTTTCTTACAAATTATTAATTGAAAAAAGGAAACTCATTAACCAATAAAAAAACCATTTTTGACATGTAGGAGGGATAAAATCTAAAAACCAATAATGTGAAATCAATTCATTAATAATATGGGTGATTATGGAAGTTAGGGTTGTTTTGAATTTAATAAAATAATGTGGAATCAATCTCCTCAATTAGAAAATTTTGATTGTATATCTTAATTTTATATATAATATAGATTAATAAAATAAAAAACAAATTCTATAAATTAATCCGGTATAATTGATTGAACCGCGTATAATAAAAATACACGATTTCAAATTATTATTAACAAAAACTTCTTGTTTGGGCAAGAACAAGAAGTAGTCTCAAATTCTTTTGTCTTTGTCGGAATAATTACAGATCAAATTGATAAATTAAATAAAAGAGAGTGACATTGGGAAGAAGGTGCAGGTGAGGAAAAAACATAAAACTCAAATTAATTTATAGGGTAAATTACAAACACCCCTGAGGTATGGTCAAATTACAAAAACACCCCTCTTGTTTGAATAATTACAACCACCCCCTTAACTCATCAAATTTAGTGGAATCTTCAAGATTATATGGAATATTATCAATTTTGTACCCGTTTTATCCCATTCAAACTCTACATTATGAAGCAAGATGATCATAATATGTGATTTTTAGCTTGTATATATCAGTTTGTGGTGTATCGGAAACTGTATTTTTTACCAAAACGAGTACAAACTACATCACATTTCACGGAATCTAGATGAGTATGTTGAATTTGGCACCATAGAGGTGGAGGTCTAAGAAAAAATCATAGTTGAGGGGGGTAGATGTAATTATCCAAACAAGAGGGGGGGTTTTTGTAATTTGACCATACCTCAGGGGGGTGTTTGAAATTTACCCTAATTTATAATATTCAAGTTTTTGGACGAAATTGTAACAATAAAGTGAAACTTGGGCTAATTGAAAAATAGATTTAAAAAAGGGGCTAAATGTGTTATTTTTGCGTTTTCACGTGTGAAACACGTGATATTTCTGTCAAAATTAACACAAAAATCAAACGGCACGCTAAAATTGCAAAAAAAAAATGTTTGTTTGAGAACTAAAATCGTGGTAAGGAAAATATGGGGACTAAAATTGTATTTAGTGTATATTATATGGACCAAATGTGTAATTATCTCTGGAAGTGTACCATCTAGATCTTAACAATATAATAGAATCATGAATATGTAAGGAGTACAAAATAATTTATATATTTCGGTATTGAAGAAAGCTTTAGTGTTGAATTGAATAATTAGTGTCTACAAACATTTTAGACATCTAAATATATAATATAATTTTGGTGAAAATATACAAAACACAATGCAAATATGCTAAATAAAGTATCAACTTTTGTTTTTGGGGGGCTGCTGCCCCTTTGCCAAAGCATATATATACACCCTTGCATGTACATTGATTTGCTCCGAGAAGGAAGGCCGAGATGATGACGTGTGAGCCTTGGAAGATATTTTGGGTGATAGCTTGTCGGGATTCCGCCGGAGAGGTACCTGCAACGCCGGGAGGGGTTTCCCGGCGTAGAAGCTCCGACGATCAAGTCAGTTTTTATCGAGAGATAATTGAATGTGATATGTAAGAGATAGCATAGAAGTGATAGGTTGAGAATAACTCCCTATTTATAGGTGAGGATACTGGATGGGCAAGAAATAAGCAAACTTGCCCCAACTCCTCTTCTTGGGCCTGATATAACTTTGGGCCAAATACAAGTGAAAAACTCAATCCACGGCCCAATAAATGATTAGGAAACCCCATGAGGACAATTTGGTCCGTATCAACTACTCCCCCCTACTCCGAAGTCTAGAAGTCGTGTTTAGACTAGGAGTATTATTCACGTGTTGTCTTTTCATTGATCGACGTTTTTTCTCTAGTTGTATGACTCGTGCGTTTATCTCGCCGTATTGGCTTGAATGTCTCTAGCGATTTACATACTCGATTTGATAGGCTATTCTTGCCTATTATAACAACTCATTTTGTGTGATTTAATGCCTCATTTTTGCGCGATTTAACGCCTCGTTTTTCAACGCGATTTAACGCCTCACATTTCAACGCGATTTAACACCTCATTTGTTACGCAATTTAACGCATCAGTGTAATACGCGATTTAACGCCTCAGTGTAATACGCGATTTAACGCCTCAGTGGAACACGCGATTTAACGCCTCAGTGGAACACGCGATTTAACGCCTCGGTGAAACACGCGATTTAACGCCTCGGTGAAACACGCGATTTAGCGCCTCGGTGAAACACGCGATTTAACGCCTCGGTGAAACACGCGATTTAACGCCTCAGTGGAACACGCGATTTAACGCCTCAGTGAAACACGCGATTTAACGCCTTGGTGAAACACGCGATTTAACGCCTCGGTGAAACACGCGATTTAACGCCTCAGTGGAACACGCGATTTAACGCCTCAGTGAAACACGCGATTTAACGCCTCAGTGGAACACGCGATTTAACGCCTCGGTGAAACATGCGATTTAACGCCTCAGTGGAACACGCGATTTAACGCCTCGGTGAAACACGCGATTTAACGCCTCAGTGGAACACGCGATTTAACGCCTCAGTGAAACACGCGATTTAACGCCTCGGTGTAACACGCGATTTAACGCCTCGGTGAAACACGCGATTTAACGCCTCGGTTTTTTGCCAATCTATTAGTTAGTATTGTTTTAATATATTCTATCCAGGTGATGTATAATTTCAAATTTCATGAAAAGAGTTATTGCCATGGAGGTATAGGCACATCATTTAAAAGAGAACTTACCTCGCAAGGATATTAGGAGAAGTTCGAGCTTTCATAGATTCGTATTCGAGGTGGAGATGCGAGCTTCATAGGACTAGTGCTAGATATGAGAGAACTACAAGCCTCGAAAAATTCTTGACGGGCATTGGGTCGTCGAGATTCGGTTAGAGAGCACCGAGATGACAACGTTCGATCCGGCGAAATCTGGCTCGGAGTTGTGGGAGAATTGGCATAGGAGTGCGAGCAATGTGAACGCGAGCTCCCGGGATAAAGTAAGTTTTCAGCAATCCCGCCGAGGGGATAACTCCGAGCTTTAGGTAGAAAATGCGAGCTAGGAGAGAGCCCCATTTTAAGATAGAAATATGAGCTCCGATGAATCTGGTGGTGTTAACACTTGATTCCTCCGACTCATGGCGATCTCCAGCCGAGGTGTGAACCTTACCTTGCCATAAATATATGGTCTGTATCTTCTTTTTTCATAGAATCTCCCTTCGTAATAAATGTGAGCGACAAGAAGTCCAATTACCATAAACAGATTCGAGATGTGAGTTTCAAGGTTTCACCAAGCGTCAGGCTCATTCGAGATGTGAGTTGCAACTCCAGACTCTTTGGTTGAAGATTGAAGCATTATTGGGGTATTTCTTGGGTAATTGTCAACATGTTGGCCGAACAAACTTCTACTTCCGAACTGTATACTGTATACTTCCGAACAAACAGATTCGAGATGTGAAGTTTTATTTATCGAGAAAGCAGGAATTTTAGGAGTCGGCACGATTTCCGTTTCACTTTTTAGCATCGATGAAACATCCAACATAGATGGCCTATCTTCCCATTTTTCTTGAACACGCAACAAAGCCACTTGCATGCACCTCTTCATTTTGCATGGGGATGAATTATTGTCCAGTGATGGATCCATAAAATCCATGCATTTGTCGCCTTCCCAAATTTCATATGCAGGCTCTAGAAGGTTTACGTTCTTATGCAAACCGTATAGACATGCAGTCTTCTCCCCACTTAGGATCTGTAGTATAAGTACACCGAAACTGTAAACATCGTATTTTCTCGAGTATATTCCTCCGTTTACGTACTTCGGTGGAACATAGCCACTGTGTTTCAAGAATCATCACAAGAAAGTGTTAAAAATGTAAATTTGTCAGGGTGACAGATTTACGAGTCAGCTGGCCAAGCTCCAACCAATCAATATGGACTTCAAGAATTCGTTTTCGAGAGAATAATGCAAGCTTGAAAAACTCCCTGCCAAGGAATGAGTTACGTTTTTTTTTTTTTTTTTTTTTTTTTTTTTTTTTTTTTTTTTTTTTAACGTCGATCAATTCGACAAATGCAGGCTGAGATTGCTTTTGGCTCCAGAGGAGATTTAACTTTCATTATCCGAGCAGTGCGAGAGGCATGCAAGTTGTAATACCAGCCTCCAAAAAATCCTGACGAAGACGACCTCGAGCGATCGAGCTTCTTGTTTTTAACTCGAAATGACCATATCCTAGCTCGAGTTTGATACAGAAAATGCGCAAGACAACTCCCTTGTGTTGTAATTATCTCATTATGGTGCGTAGTGGCGCTCAACTAATCCGTCTTGGAAACCATTTACCACTTCTGAAATGATAAACACAAGGATTCATACCCAACTCGGGAGGTGATTAGGAGAGGTTTCTTCCTTCGTAACTTTATGCTCGAAATGGCGATCGAGGTTCATATGCCCAGTGCGAGGTAGAAGCTTTAAAAAATATTTCCCGGAGTCTGAGATGTACGAGGCGAATTCGAGCTTCAAGAAGGGTGAACTCTGATAAATTCAAATCTCGGAGAATTTTTAATAACCATAAGTTTCTCAAGGAGATTGGCTCTGTAAATGTGAGTTCCTCGACAAGACATTTGTAAGTAATATATTGGTCCTCCAAGCAATAAACACGAGCCCCAAGAATCGCGAGCTCTTGGAGAGGTTTGTCCCATCATTGAGCTTGCGACTACGAAATATTCATCTCGTGGTAACGAAACTTTTAAATCTTTCTTATTTTCTATCAATTCCATTGTGGATTGCGCGTTGACAAATATGGGCTGAAGTTGCTCTCGGGTCTGGAGGAGATGTAACTTGCATTTTTTCTGGGCATATATCGATGCTCTACCACTCCTCCGAGTTATATCTTCGCGGGGTGACTTTTCAATGTGCAACGGAATTTTCATCTTTTCATAAACTGTTGAATGCCATCCTATGAAAATCAAATCATTGATCCAATTGTTTAGTGTCCTTATGCCGTGGTTGAGTCGTCCCGTCTCGTCTCGTACTGAACCGCATCGAACTCATGCAAGATCGAGCTCCAATATAAGCTTATCTCATGTTTCCACAAGTATTACTGTAATGCTTCCCACTTGTAATAAGTTTTCACGGGCCAGAACGACCTTTGCCCAAACATCTTTCTCGAAGGTTAGATTTCCTCACCATCTCGATAATTGGGGAGAAGCCTCATTTTAGAATCATTTCGATTTCCTCTTGCCACCCAATTTGATTTTTAATATCATACATCGTCGATAATTGTGTTCAACTGCTAATGTGTTGTTATTCCCATCTCTCAGTAAGAGATTATACTCGGTAATAGCTCGTCCCAGCTTCTCAAAGTATAACTCGACTGCCATAGTCTTATAAATTCAAAATATCCATTAATTGGTGGATGAGCTCTGTCTTTATCTCACTTCTTTCAGCAAACTTCGGTTTGATTCTATCTCGCAGGGTCACCTGTTGCGTACGGTCTGGCCAAGATATGATTTATAAAACGAAGCCGAAGCTATGCTTTCATAGAATGTGCCGACAAAAGCCTGTTGTTCTCCTAGACCTTCGATCAAACAGTTTATGTGCACCATCAGGACTTCCATCTTTCTCTTCGGTCTGGCCCACCACAAATTGTCGGTATCTAGCATTCTTCAACAATCGTTTAGAATTGCTTCATAAAACTGGAAATCCACTGTCAACAAAACTAAAAACTCGTAGTGCTCATAATCCTGCCACAGATGCGACACGGGTCGGCACACTCCTCCCTTTCTGCTTGTTCTCCTTTTTTTTTTTTTTTTACAAATATCCGACTCTTGAAGGTTCCAACCCACAACACAGATGCGAGCTGCCAGAACCCGGGCAAAGAGAAACGCCCCGGATATTGATTTTTACACAATTCGTTGCTTTGAAAGAGAACCGTCATGCTAAAGCTTTAGCCGTAGTTCATATACATATGCGCGTTTTCGATAGACAAAAAATCACGAGCTCCTCTTTCCAACAACTTCAAGACAAACATGGAGCTCGATTCCAGCCTTGGAAGTTGACCAGGTTATAAAATCTCTGGTGCAACTGCAGTCCGATAGGCGAAGTGCGAAGTGTAGCACAGAGTGTGCTCTTTGGGGCCTTATATCGAACAACTTACGGGTGGGTCTATAGATTTAGGCAAAATCATACGAGGGGACAAGGCCACAAGGGTACTTTGAAATTTTCCCCTTCTCTTCCCGATCCTTCTCGATCTCAATCTTTTCACATGTGATGGTTTTTCGAGATTCGATCTCGACAGACGAGGTCGACGTCGGCGAGACATGGGTAGGCGAGACTTTTCTTGGCCGACGAGATCGGCGAGACTTAGTTCGGCGGGCATGGATCGACGAGCACTGAGACGGGGTTGAATCCAGGTTCCAAGGAAATCAGCTTCTAGAATCGGAACAGAGCATCGAGCTTTGCCAAATCGTATAGAGAAAATCAAGCTTCCAAAATAACCATTTTGAAGGGTAGATACGATCTCGAGACTCATGTGATTTTGGCTTTGGCATGATTCGGAACCACTTTACCTTATAACTTTCTCTCTCCACTATTTTGCCAACTTAAAATTGAAGCTAACTTGCTCGGTGTTTGACAAGCTTCAACAAATGTCCTTATGTAATCTCTTGGCCTCATTTCTTTTCCCGCCCTGATTCGTCAAGCACTTGACTCAGAAATTTGGAATCGTTTCATGTTGTTTACCTCGTGAATCTACTCGGATTTCTTTTTCTCTTTAGATTTTTGTCGAGTTCAGCCATTAGGGAAAGATCTATTTCCAGATTCTCCTCTTCGTACTTCATCCATTCGTCAGATCTGGATTGCAAGCACAAGATATGAGCCCCTTTCTTGGTTTCTCCTTAAAAAACTCCCCAAGAAATACAGTAAACCGTTCTTCTTCGATATTGCAGCTCATTATCTCGAACCTCGTGGAGAAGATCCCAAAAATCAAATCATCTCACGTCTTAGCTCGAGATCATTCCCACAGACGGCGCCACTTGATTTGCTCCGAGAAGGCCGAGATGATGACGTGTGAGCCTTGGAAGATATTTTGGGTGATAGCTTGTCGGGATTCCGCCGGAGAGGTATCTGCAACGCCGGGAGGGGTTTCCCGGCGTAGAAGCTCCGACGATCAAGTCAGTTTTTATCGAGAGATAATTGAGTGTGATATGTAAGAGATAGCATAGAAGTGATAGGTTGAGAATAACTCCCTATTTATAGGTGAGGATACTGGATGGGCAAGAAATAAGCAAACTTGCCCTAACTCCTCTTCTTGGGCCTGATATAACTTTGGGCCAAATACAAGTGAAAAACTCAATCCACGGCCCAATAAATGATTAGGAAACCCCATGAGGACAATTTGGTCCGTATCATACATCTTATATGAAAAATAAGACAGACGACAAAATGAATTTCTCATTTTACAATGGATAAAAGAAGAAGCAGAGAAAGTCATTAATCATTGACGGGAGAATGAGAAGAAGGCTTCTCGACTCGCGTCTTCATCATTTTCGATCCCTTTCATCTTACCTGGTTCTCCAATTCTTTTTGACTAATTACAAAGTGAAGTAGAGTGATTACTGATCCACATTCATGTGGATGTACTAATTAATGAATTTGCACTTTTGTCCATACCAAAACAATTGAAGAAACCATTAACATGCAAGTTGGGAAGATAAAAGAAAAAGAAAGGTAAAATAAGAAAAGAACGTACATTGATTACATACCTCTCACTTACATAATTGATTTAAAGAGGAACTGAGGAGACACCATAGTATTTAATTTCATGTGCATGCACTCATAATTCAAATTATGTTGGCCAAGCCCGCTCATCGTTTTTTTAGTGGGTATCAAACCGCTGCTGAAGGGTCAAATAATCAATGTACTCTTTTCTTGTGAAGATTCGAAATTGCATCTTCTGCTAAAGTTTATTCTTCGTGTATTTTATGGATATGGAGGTAATAATGCATATTCCAACCATAAATCAAAATCTGCAAATTAGTTGTTAATTTGTCAACGGTCAACGATTGCACATAAGGGTAAGGGAACTTTAGAGTGAAGTCAACAAAGTAAAACATTGCACTATTACCTGAATAGGCTGTTTATTCATGTGAAGCCATAGGTCAGAACCTGGATGTTGTCTCTTGTAGCTAGGGCTGGGCATTCGGGTCGGGTAATTCGGGTTATGACCCGACCCGGTCGGGTTTACCCGACTGGATTGGGTAATTTTGAAGTCTACCGGGATTTGCCGGGTTCGGGTACCCGGTGTTCTTTAACCGGGTCGGGTTCGGGTTTAAGAATTTCTTTCCGGGTACCCGATCGGGTACCCAGCAAAAAAAATAAAAATAAACTAAACTACATAGCTCACTTTCACCCAAGCCCAACCCAATTCTAGCTCATGTAATGTTATATCATCTACATATTCTTTTTATTATTTATTATTGAGTTCCATCTAATATATTTCATTTTGAGCTTCTAATTCTTGTTGTTATATTGCAAAAATTTGCTTAGTCGTTCAAGTTTTTATATTGGCACTTATTTTTTTATTATTTTCTATAATAAATAAATGACTTTCTAATAGTTCGAATATCAATATTATTATTGAATATTGATGCCAAAAAAAGAAAACCAAGCAAAAAAAATAAAAAAAAAGAAGAAGAAGAAACCCGAACCCGACCCAACCCGATCCAACCCGAAATAACCGGGTACCCGGTTATTTCGGGTCGGGTTCGAGTAATGATTTCTATGTCAAAAACCCGATTAACCCGACCCGACCCGACCCGACCCGAATGTCCACCCCTACTTGTGGCTCTTTGTGGGGGTTAAGTATCCACGCTATAGATGGTTGGTCTTCCATATACTTTTATGGGGGTTAAGTATCCACATTTTAGATGGTTTTGGTTGTGCACGTGCAGAAACGTCAAACTCAATTTCCACATTGTTCCTATTTGAATCTCGAATATGAAAGTTGTATATATCAATTGGCTTTCGTCAGCAATTCGAATCACCTTAATTAGACGTCACATGGGAGTGTTATAACCCGAATGGTAAAATATGCCAGAATCACACAGAACTTTCGGGATGCATGAAATTTGACTTGTCAAACGAATTGTTCTCTTCATTTTCTTCCAATCCCTTACAATGGACTCCTCAACCAAATCATTGGGTCTGAATGTTGTCATCTTAAACACGAATAACTCCATTAAACTCAGGCGCTTTTGCTTTTTCCATTTCTTGATCTTAGAGGTTGTCATGATCATATCAGTGAGTCAGCTGATGCGTTTGGGAACTCAATTACAGACCCACATTTCAATGTGTATGTGATGTTAAAGAAGATAACTGAAATTACAAATGGACGCAAGTCCAACTATGGTCTAATACACTATTCTTCCATGAGTTATAAAATACGATTGTAGGATCGTCCAACATGAAAGAGAGAACATCGATGGTGGTGGCAGATTCGAAACTCGTGTGGCGTAATTCTACATATTTAATTATCTTAAAAAATCAACGGAAAATTAAAACCTATGAGAATTAACATAAAATAATATGAAAAAGAAGAAGACATGAGATCTAAGGGAGCAGTGGGTCGTTCATATGTGATATTCTCCTATTTACGATAGTGTATAACTATTAGTCCTTCAACTTAGCTTCAAGTGCTGCAACAACATTGTATTTAAGAGCCTATGCTTTGATTTACGTTTGGACCACAATGCTTGCTTTTCGTGGATGTACTTTGGATATGGATGTTATTAACGTGTATGCGTGATCATTGATCCGATGTCATGTATCGGTATGAATTCTAGAATTTGGGAAAACGTTTCTAAAGAATAATAGATTGGAAAGAATTCTTCTTGTGTGTTATGTTTCAGCATATCATTATACATATATATTCATACTTGCTTATGAACGGCTATATTACAATAGGGGCCATTTATTTTTCTACAACATATGGGCCCATTTTTTTTTAAAATTAGAACACATTTCCAAGTTATTTCAGTTTTACAAAAAAGGGATAGCTCTGAAATGTATATGAAAGCACGACTTTTGATCCTAGTTTGTTGGAAGGATATTGACATATTATTATGAGTAAAAAGCAGTTTACCCCCTAAACAAATGTCCATTTTGCACTTTGCCCCCCAAACAAAAAAAAATTTGCACGTTCTTACCTAAACTTCGGTTTTTGTTGCACGGTGCCTCAAAATTGGAATTTTCCGGCCACTTTGACCGGAATCTTACACACGTGCTTTTCACGTGAGTTTTAAAGGGGCAAAGGAGTCTATTCACTTACATTCTACCTAAATTTAAAAAAAAAAGAAAAAAAAAAAGAAGAAGAAGAAGACTGTTGGAAGATGGAGGGGGTGTGCCAGCATTATAACTATTATTTTTTTGAGTTTTTTGTTTTGTTTGAGTTATTCACGGAGTAACGTAATAATATTATTGTCTATTATTATAATATTATTGTGGTTGACAGTAATATTACTGTTGTCATAGTAATATTGCTGTCAATCACATTAATATTATTATTTTGTTTGGATTTTTTTGTTTGTTTGGAGTTATTCACGGAGTAACGTAATAATATTACTGTCTATTATTGTAATATTACTGTGGTTGACGGTATATTACTATTGTTATAGTAATATTACTATCACTCACAGTAATATTAATTCTTTGGCTTTTTATTATGTTTACATTTGTTGAACGGTCAACATAGTAATATTACTCTATTACACAATAATAATGAGTTTTGTTGTGTTAATATTACTGTGCTAGAGATTAATGTAGCAATATTAATGTGTCAACTGTAGTTTATTTAATTTTACTGTGTTTAACAGTAATATAGTTAATATTACTGTCAATCACAACAATATTGTTGTCTAAACGGGAAAAAAATGTTACAGAAAGAAAAAAAAAATCGAAAAACACAACGCCGGAAACCGGCGAAAAAATCCGGAAGTAGAAAAGAATTTTTTTTTTTAAAAGTCAACACCGCCGGCCAAAGCCGGAATCTGGTGGCAAAAGAAATGTTTTTGAATTTTTCTTTTTTTTGAAAAAAGAAAGTTTTGGGTCAAAATTGAATAATTTGTGAAATTTGAGGTCAAATTGAGGTTAAATTAAGTTGATGATGTAATTGGAGCATAATAAAATATAAGGGGCAATTTTAGTCTTTTACAAAAATCTGAACCATATGTAGACATATTGGTAAATGACTTTTTTGTCTTGATCTTTTCATGAATAAGTATTCATTGATGGACTTATTTGTAATGACCCCTGTTGATTATTATTACTGTTGAAGTTTAAAGTTGAATATTGCTGCTCCCCTAATCTTCTATCTGTAAGAGGATTTGTATCATGTTAGTCACAGTTTGATCTGATTGCTCATGCAAATAATTTAAACATAAGGGTAGATTAACAACATCATTTACCAAGAACTACTTTCGGTAGAAGAAAATAAAAACAGGACACAAAATGAACAGTATCCAAAGCCAAACGAGTAATTTTGAAAAGTACGAATCTGTAGTGGTGAAAACTTAAAAGAATTTCAACAAATACCAATATCTGGAAAGTTAAATGTTTGCAATTAAATTAGTAGTCAAGTTAATTTGAAACGATAATGAACAATGGAAACGGGGAGCATGAATTCCATGACAAGTGGAGATTAGATCAATAGAGTTGAAATTTAGCCCTTGTTTTCTCGAAAACTTGCTCAGCAAGAAGGGCCACATTACCATCAGCTTGTTTGATCTCCAGATTAGCCTTCTGGTAAAATCCGGTTCCTCTCAAAGCATCTGCTATGAAGGAGTCAAAACCAATGGCAATAGCAGCTTCAGCTTTCGCTCCGTACACCAATCTCTGAGCAAAATGAGATCGTCGTGTTTCATTTAAGAAAAATCAAAATGTTTGATCTGTTGTTGTAAGGGTTGAATTGAGTCGAATAAACGAGAAATGGATTGAGAACCAAACCTTGATTCTGGAAAGATGGATAGCACCAAAGCACATAGGACAAGGCTCACACGACGCATAAATCTCACAATCCGAGAGCTCAATCCTGTTCAGCTTCTTGCAAGCCTGAGAATGCATGATAAGCCTAAATAAGTGGATTGCTCCCTCTCGATAAATTTCACATAAAGGTGACACATAAAATAACCTCAGTAAATAATCACATATCGATGCATCATTGTTCAAGAAGAAATGCCAAGTCAAAAAGTTTCACGTAATTTATCCAATACATTAATCGATTTAGGACTCTTCTTATCAAAAAGAAGAAAATGATCAAGTCACATCGGGAAATATTACGACTAATGTTTGTACGACCTCTATAAGGCCACCGTTCATCCCACTCCAATAAAAGAAAGCCAGTATAATGAATTGGTACAAGGTTTCTATAAGATTTCTGTCCTCCCTCCTTTTGCTACTAATCCAATTCAGCATTTTGTTTTCTAACTCCAATTTCAACATTAATTTTGAGTTCGTGTATGTTTTTGAAGTCAGTTTGGTATTGAATAATAGCAAGCATTTTTAACAGAAACCATCTCGAACAGTATAAATTCGGGTGCGGCTACAATTCTATTCTAACCTCTCTTATTGCAGTAACCTCTGCATGAGCAGTAGGGTCTGTCTGCTTGAGAACGAGATTGTGACAGCTTACGACCACTTCATTATTGCATACTACAACAGCACCAAAAGGACGTCCATCTCCACAATCTACACCTTTGTAAGCTTCTTCAACTGCTTTCGTCAAGAATTTTTGATCTCTATCCTGAACAGCTGTTGCCCATTACAAAATATATTGTTACTATTCATTCATAATTTACACTCTTGCTTTTCCAAACTATCACATTAATCGTTAAGGCATGAAAATTTGTTGCTTTACAAGTTGAGACTACAGCAAACAGTTAGTCATGTACTAAGAACGCCGAACAACAATTTATTCAACATATAATCATCCATTACAAAGAGTTTGGACAGAATGTATCATTAGCTTTGATATTTTGCATGTCAGTGCCACTAACAAGATATTTTATTTTTATACTTCAAAAAAAGAGGCATTTAGTAGCAAAGAGAAAAATGTAGAAAAAATTGTACTAATGCACAATTCCACTTAATCGAGTGCCGTACTTTGTGTAACAGCAACTGGTTAAGTCATTCCCAACTGCCCAGTCAGTTTTTTTTTCTTGCCTTTATTATAAACAAATAGTATAGTGTCTACACAATTTCGTCGATCCTTTTAAAATACTTCTTCATTACTTCAAAATTCATAGAGCTTTAACGAATTACATTTGAATTAGATGAAACATATGTTAACATTGGTTAAAGCAATTTAGTGTAGTACACAGAAGAAAGAAATAGGAAACTAGACCAGATTGGAATAAAAATTAGATGATACATGCAAGAAATAACCCAACCCAAGCATCTTGATCATCACCATAGCCCACAATATTCAAAATACAGGCGATCAACCCCAAACCAGCATGAAATTGAAAAAAAAAACAATTTAAAAAATCATTGAAAAGATAAAACAAAGAGTTTTGAAAGTAGGGAGGCTAACCATTTGCAGCTTCCATGGTAAAGAGTAAATTGATTCTGAGAAAAAGAATTGGATGAGTGAACAAATCACAAATGGGATCTGATGGGCGAGAGATCTCAATTCTCAAGGGTTTTAATTTCAACCTATCTCCCTTATCACAATGTACTCCAAGTATTCTCTACCACTGTTGAGTTGGCCGTACGGCAAGCACAACACAAATGGAATCAGTGGTTGAAAAACAGGGATAATTACACTTTTCGTCCCTATACATTACCACTTAAACGATTTTCGTCCCTAAACAAGATGAAGTTACAATTTTCGTCCCTAAACATGTCACTTTTATGCCGTTTCTGTCCCTCCGTCCATTTGTCCAGTTAGTTTGGACGGAAAATCGCACGTGCGCCGCACGTGACACACAAAAGCACCTCTACAGTTGTGATATTGGGGAATGGAGCGTCTCTTTATAAAGGCGATTTGCCACCGTCGCATTCGTCTCTCCAGTTGTGATGTTCACTTGATTCCCCGTCGATGAGGCGGTTACGTTCAGGGGGAAAAGCTCTTCGCTGCCGCCGGCTTGCGTGCGCAGGGGATTGCTCGCGGTATCGAACTGCGATGGAGAGAAATAGGAAGGGAGGACGTGGAATTGGATGAGTTCGGTTTTCTGCTCGTCGGAGAAGGAATTGAGTGTGCCTGATTTCAGGCCGGAGAATGAGCCGTCGGTTGGGGCGAAAACAGTGAGGCCTTGGTTTGAATTGTTGAGTTGTGTGTAGATCTGGTCCGCCACTTTGGTGCTCTGCAATAGGCGGATGAATATGGTGAATCGGCCGGCTTTCTCGAGGATGGCGGTCAGGTTGGTTGGGCCTGGCGTTGCAGGGGCGGCTGCCGCCGTGGACTGGCCGGAAGTTAGTGCGGCAAAGAAAAGGAAAAGTAAGGGGAATAGGATAAGTACCAACTGTTTCATCTCTAATTTTGTGCGATAAACCGAATCGATTACTAGAGGTTTATCGACCAAGAGAATGAATGACGCACAAACAAAATAAACCGAATCGATTACTAGAGGTTTATCGACGAAGAGAATGAATGAGAAGGTGAGGTTTATATATAGTGTGGTGAGTAAGATCAAGGTGAAAGCAATGGCAGATTAAGGTGGGAAAATTAAGAAATAACTCAATTCTCACTCACCTTATTTCATTGTATTGTTGGTTTCTTGTCACATTCTTGTCATTGCAACATCATTTTTCTATATCTAATCATCCATCATTTTTTTTTTAATTCTCTTTTTTTTTTTTTTGAAATTAATGTGGGTCTGCCGTACACATGTATATTTTCAGAAAATGTAAGACAAACATTTGATTATCTGCAGATAAAAGTTACTAAGAAAAGCAGTTTCAGTTGATGAAGTTGGATGTTCATGGGACAACTAGAAATAAGAAGTTTGGTTGCTTTCCAAACATGGCGCTGTCGATAGTCCCCGAGTTTGTACACCATATCGTACACAAAGCAAATGACAACATATCGAGAATTCAACGGCTCTATAATCAATACTGCTTCTCAAAACCATTCTTCAAATGAGTTAAATAAATACTACAAATGTATTTTTGTGTGTCACGTGCGGCGCACGTGCGATTTTCCGTCCAAACTAACTGGACAAATGGACGGAGGGACAGAAACGGCATAAAAGTGACATGTTTAGGGACGAAAATTGTAACTTCATCTTGTTTAGGGACGAAAATCGTTTAAGTGGTAATGTATAGGGACGAAAAGTGTAATTATCCCTTGAAAAACACATGTAAAGTCACAAAAGTGAATCTTTTCTTCTTCTATTATGTATTTAATTTTTTTAATTTTTTTTTTGGGTAGTTAGCTTTAGAACTTCAAAATTATATATAGGCCCATAACTAACCTAACTATTAAAAAAAAAAGGTAGATATCACCTAAACCTAGGGGTGGGTTTGATAGGGCAACCGTACCAAACCCCTCGAATCACTATCATTACCGAAATTTCGGTATTATGAAATTCATTACTATTGCCCTACCAAAAACTTCGGTATACTGAATTCGGTATACCAAAAGTTCGGTACGGTAGGGTATGGTAATTGTAATTACCAATTTATATTATCTACTATTTAAGTCTAAATTAAATATCATTTTTTTAAAGTAATTCAAGGTATATATTGTTTAAAGGGATTATTTTGTAGATCCCCTTTATTTCCAAATTATATAGAACTAACTACCAAGTGGATTACACTCTAGGGGAAACCCCTCATTTCGAAAATATTTTGACATACCCCCCTGGGCCACCCTGAAGTTCCTATAATACCCTTCTAAACTCAGTTTTAAACCCTAGCACTCACATTTCGGTCTCTCTCTTCTTCTCCCAGATTCAAAATCCCGCTTTCACAAACCTCCCACCGGCGAAATTGCTTCCCGGAGTCATAACTCTCTCTCCGGTGGTCGAAATTTGATGGTTTAACTACCATTGGATTCCTCTCGTCGAGCTCTTTCTTTTGGTGGTGATTTCATTCAGTTTGGAGCGCAGATCTGTTTCTGCAATATTTTTTTCATTCGACGACGGTGGTCTTGCCGGAGGTGTATTTTGTGTTCCACCAGTCGAAATTTGACAGGCTACCCACCGTTGGATTCCTCTCGTCGAGATCTATATTTTGATGGTAATTTCGTTGTTTTTATGTTCTCTGATTTATTTCTATAATTTTTTGTACTTGTGGACGCGCGGAACCATAGGTGGTTATTAGCGGCGCTTAAGGTTTTGGTAGGAGGCGAGGGGGTGAAGAGTCACTGTCTGTTTGATTTAAAATATATAGCATTTCCCAGCAATAATCTCTCTCTCTCTCTCTCTCTCTCTCTCTCTCTCTCTCTCTCTCTCTCTCTCTCCTCTATCTCCTCTCTCTCTCTCTCCTCTCTCTCTCTCTCTCTCTCTCTCTCTCTCTCTCTCTCTCTCTCTCTCTCTCTCTCTCTCTCTCTCTCTCTCTCTCTCTCTCTCTCTCTCTCTCTCTCTCTCTCTATATATATATATATATATATATATATATATATATCGATGTCTTAGTGTTTGTTGATTTTTGAGTGTTTTGATATTTTTTCATATTTTGTTGATTTGCACTAAAGTAATTTTTTTTGTTTTGATTTTGCAATTGCAGCTTAATGAAGGCCATTGATCATTTCCTTGAAGGTGTCAAAATTTTTGTTTGAAGTTACATCAGACTGTATACATTACTGTACATTACTATACATTACTATAGTAACATGTAGTTACATATTCGTATATTTGTGTATTTTTTATTTTGTATTTTATTGGTTGTGAGGTGATTTATAATAAAAATATTGAAATTTGTAAATTTTTGTTGGGGTTTTATAAATTTCCTTTGTATAAGCCAGTATTCGTGTGTGTATACGATTGATCGACTAAAAATATGGGGAAAAAAACGAACATAACTACGAATTACTATAGTTACATGTAGTTATTTTCAGTACAGTAAACATATTGTTTTGAAAATTAAAAAAAAAAACAAAAAAAATTAAAAAAAAATTAAAAAAAATTAATTTTTCTTAATTTTAAAAAAAAATTATATATATATATATATATATATATATATATATATATATATATATATATATATATATATATATATATATATATATAAATGTAACAAACAGGTTTATTATTAAAAAAAGGAAAATAATAATAAATAAATCAGCGAAAAAGATAAATGCAGGACCAGAACTGTTAAATGCAGTTTTGGCCGAAAATTGTATATAAGGGTAGTATAGTACTTTCGCTTCTCTATGGGGTATATCAAAGGATGATTTGGGCTTGAATTTATCCCTAGTTTATTTGGTGGTTATGGGGTTATGTAAAATAACCCCATGTTTAAAATGTACAAAACTAGTTTTTAAAATACAAGTGTCCTAGATATATGTTCTAAATTTACCTAATGTAAAATATTTCTTAAATAAAATTATAACATAACAACTTTTAACATCAAATATCATCATTAATGAAAGCAAATTAAAATATTTTTGACATACCTAAAGAGTATAATTAATTTTAACTAATAGTAGTTAGTTAGGATACTATGTTCACTTTTTATACATAATAAATGAATTATTAAAATAAAATTTTATTTATTAATAATATTTTTATACATAATAATACTTTTTATAATAATATCATCATGACCCTCTATAGTTTGGATTATGTGCACGTGACCCCCTTTACCTTTTAATATAAGCACATAACCCTAGTGGTATTTCATTTGGTAAATAATCATGCTCATTAGGAAGATAATTTAAAAAAAAAAATAGAAGTGAGTTATGTGCTTATATTAAAATACAAAGGGATCATGTGCTATACTAAAAGAATGGGTCATGTGCACAAAAGTCCAAACCACAAGGGGTGAGTGCTATTTACCCTTAGAAAAAATGTAAATATTTTTGTCCATCTCCCATTATTTCAAAACTAATGTAGATATAGTTTAAGTTGGCTTGATCTAGATCATTTCACTTAGCCTTCCTAGCCTCCGATAGATTGGTGAATTACTTATTTGTGAATCCTCGTGTACTCTTAACGGATTCATCGTGTTGGACTCTTAGGCTCGTACAGATGGACTTGTCGGTATGGATTCCCAAGGTGCATTGATTGGTTACTCACTGGTGGATTGATCAATTAGTCGTTACGTAGGTTGTCACCTCTATCACAGACACTCATTAAAACGTCGAGGCTTGGTCCATATAAAATTCCTTCCATAATTAAGTCAATTCTCAAGCCAAGTGAAAATTTAGAGAGAATTTAAAAGTGAGTATTGAGAATCGTAAAATAAGGGGCAACTAAAACTAATACATGTTTTTCCTCACTTTAATACCTCGAACTTCAATACTATATTTTATAAAAGTTTTTACATTTTTTTCTTGGGATAATTAGCTATACCCCCCTTATTTCAAACTTATATGGCTATGAGTCCAATGTGTTAGATTAGTATAGCTATAGGCCCTTTGACCAAAAAATTTAATTAAATTAATTAAAATTATAAGCCTACGGACATAAATACCCTTCCAGTAAATTATTTAATTAAGGAAGCAGTTAATTCAGTAAATTACGTTGAATAAATCCCAAATATCACGTTGTAAGATTTGGAAGGAAGTTATGAGACGTGGGTTGAAAAAAAAATATCGGGAGTTTATCCATGGTAGAATTAAAGAACTCATTCATCGTTATAAGATCTTAGAATTGTATGGCTTTAGTTTCGTGAAATCTAATGCAATTAGGTATATTTTTGTTATTCGCATTGCTATCAACATGAAGAGGAGCTACGTCAATAGGTTTGTTTTGTTGTTGGAAAGGAGTTTATGAAACGTGGTTGATTCATCTTTGACGACACTCTTATTTTTTTTCGCAAAATCTCTGGTTTAGATTTCGAGATTGAAATTCGAATTCAGACTTTTGATTCAATTTGGCAGGCATTAAATTAAATTTTGTGATTTTTTTAGGGTTGATGGTGCATGATTGAAGGAGAAGATGACCATACAGAAAGTGATTGAGCCCGATTCACATATGTTCTCTTTATTTGCTCATCAGGAGAAGATTCATTTAGTTTTTTTTTTCGTGCAAACCAAAACGAGTACAAAATGGCTCGCTCGTTCTCAGCCGATAAATTCATTCCGTATTTAATCGTCAGAGCAGTTCCGTATCTAGAGGCTCAAGGACATCGACTAAATCTGATAATTTTGAGACGAAAATTGTGTTTGTTGTTTGCTATTTTTTTTTACACTTTGTTGTTATATATTTATTTTTTGTTGTTAGTATGTTACTATTTGCACTTTGCTTTTAATTCTTGCAGTTTATGTATATAATGTGTTTTTGCTCGAATATATTTTTACTCTTTTGCTGCTTTTGTTTACTGTTTTAAGTTTTTTTTTTCATACATGATTGTCACTGTTAATATATGTTCTGTAAATATCAAACTTTAAAAATCCATTCATAATTCAAACATCAAACA